GGCCCATATATAGTGCACAATAAATGTTGGTTGAATGAGTGTACAAATGAATGAGGCCATGCCTTGATAAAAATCAAAGGTATATGAAATAATTTGGAGCATTTACAAACCAATGTCTTGCTCAGAATAAGGCATAAAATGAATTTGGGGTGCACAATAATCCCCAACAGGGTTTGACTGGATGGTCCTTCTGAAATAAAGTAAATACATTGTTCTTAGGTATTTCAAAGAACCAAAGCAAGAGGGAAAATATGAAGTCTAAGAAAACCTTATCTCAGAAAGATACAGAGTTTTAGGTAGTGTTAAAATAATGACCTTTGATTTAAATCATGGTATTAAAGAATCCTGAATGAGTTCATGAGTTTATCCAAATAGAGCTATGCTAACACACACACACACACACACACACACACACACACACAGTGTTCCTACTCATAGAAGCAATTCTTAAAAGGTTGTCAGTGAACACAGTAATCAGAAAATGGATAATTTCAGTGGGTGATAAATACAAGTGCTATGAAAGAAATAAAGTAATAAAGTAATCCCAGTTGCCTGGGATGAGAGTGGAGTGCCTTTAGCCGGAGTAGAGGGTAGACCTCTCTGGGGAGGTAGACTTCTAGTTGTAACCTGAATGAAAGAGAAGACCTGTGGCATAGCAAGTGGTTAATGCAAATGCCCTTAGAAGCTAGTGAGGATGTGTGAGTCAAGAAGAGGGCCAGGATGGCTGAGACTTGCGGAGTGATGGACAGTGGTAAGCAATGAACACTGAAAGGTAGACAGTGACCGCAGGATCTCATAGCCCTGGAAGTGACTTTTAATTTTATTCTAATTGGAAGGGGAAGTCTCTGGGAAGTTTTCTATAAGCAGGGGAACCACATGATCTGATTTCATGCTTTAGAACAGTATTCTCACAGTTTGTTATGATAACTAGTGGCTAGAAGAACAGGAGAAAATCCAGTTAGAAGGCTGTTATAACATTCCAACAGGAGAAGGTGTTGTTTCCATTAGGGCAGAAGTACTGGGGAGGTGGGAGTCTTTTTTGTTAGGAAAGAGCTTAAAAATGAATTGGTTATGGAAGTATGATAGTTGCAAGTGAAGAATCAATGAAAATGCCTAGATTTTGTACTGAACAACCAGTGGACAGTGCTGCAGTTTATTAAAAAGCTGAAAGAAAAATTGGAATGATCAAAATGAGTAGATCAGTGTCTTGCAGATTATATTAAAAATGCTTGAAATTTGTTTTCTTCTACTGTTCTTCATTACATGAGGCGTAGCACTTTGCATATTGTGGGTGCTAATGACTGGGTATTGGCTGATGAGGTGGTTGGGAAATTGAGGTATGATGAATTGATGTCTGAGCCTTCCAATATGTTGCACTCTACTAAAACTTTTGGCCTCTTAAGAGAGATTATTTTTTGAAATTGTTTACAAATCTTAAGAAATGTGAAGAAGAAAACTAGCCTAGATTTAAATTTTTTCCTTTATACCTTTTCAAATAGTCTCACTTGGATCGTCACAGAATTGTAACTTGCATGCAATTTAGTTGTTAAGAGAGTTATTTTCATTAATGAGAATTAACACTAAGTTTCCTTCATTTGGAAGCTTGTCATTAAGACCCAAAAACAAAGCATTTTAGTGTTTGGATACTTTACTTACATTGATATTTTATATTTGATATTTTCCTTTTTTTACATTTTTTAATTTAAATTCAATTTTCTAACATATAGTATGACACCAGTGCTCATCCCATCATTGCCCTCCTCAGTGCCCATCACCTAGTTACCCCATCACCCCACCCATCTCCCCTTCTGCAACCCTTTGTTTGTTTCCCAGAGTTAGGAGTCTCTCAGGGTTTGTCTCCCTCTCTAATTTTTCCCACTCAGTTCCCCTCCTTTCCCTTATAATCTCTTTCACTATTTCTATATTTGATATTTTCTTTACATCAGTAGTCCTATGCCTATGAATGCTACATATTGCAAGCTTTTCATAGCCACAAAGACAAAAAAAATCTGTTTTTTGTTGTAAAACTAATGCTTGAGGAAAGCAAGAATTTGTTTAAACAGAAAGATTCTGCAGCTGGCATCTAGTTTCACCTCACTGGATCAAATTAAAAATCTACATTAAGAGACTTAGAAAGCACTGTACTTTTTAATGTTGTTTTATGTCCAGAGTTTTAGTTCTGATGAGTAGCAGCTTAGCTGAATAAATTACCTCATGACTACCTTGAACATATTCCACCAAGAGAGGGTACCAGAGAAGGAGGCAATTTTTACCTTGGAAGTGTGAATAGTGAAAAGTGGAGGGAAATGTACCACTTGTTGATACAATGATGGTGATGACTTCGCTGGTTGCCATAGTGAGGAAAATTCAGACTACAGGTGTCAAGCAGAACAAACTCACCCTTTGGCTAAACATTTGGAAGTTTCCATGAATTCACACATATAAACTAATAGATTGCATCAAACCAAGCAGCCTTCATTTATCTGGAGGTTTCTGCTGACTGCATGAAAATCAATAAGAATCAGCAATTCTTCACTGAATATAGAACCCAGAAATATGATAAGAGTCAAAGGTCTCCCTATCTTTCTACCCCTTGGCACCTACACTGGTTTGCCAGAGGAAAGATAATTATTCCATCTGCTCTACAGAAAAGTTCTCTGAGGACTGGTCCCACATAAGCTCAGATGAGAAGCTTTGGTGTTCATACTAGTCTTCTTAAGAACAACTTCCTCTTAAAGCTCTTCTCTGTCTCTAACCCTTCTCCAGCTATTTTATATACCTGGGAATTGCAGAGGGCTCTTTCTACACTGCAAAAAAATGACTATATTTTAATATTGTTTAAAATTACTCATGACCTCCTCTTTGCCTACAGAATATAATCCAAACTCCAGGGACCAGTTTCCCCTCTGTTTCATATTTAAGCTTTGTAATGTCTTTGCCAACTGTCAACCATACTCTCCTTCTTGAAACTATCCCCCTGCTCCCATTGTTAGCTGCCATTACCTTATATCCTCTTGGTTTTCCTCCTACTTCTCCACTTACTTCTTCCTAGTCTTCTTTCCAGGTTTATCTTCCTCTACATGAGTCATAATGTTGGTTGTCTACAGGTCTCCCAAACTTTCAGTCTTTTTTATCACAGTATTTCTAGGACAATCCATGACTTCAAATGCATTTCAAATGCTGACTTCAAAATGAACTTCTTTACAATGGAACTGTCTACTAAGATCGAACTCTAATATCTACCTATCTTATGAGATATATCTACCTTGATGTCACACAGGTTCCCCAACTCACCATATACAATATTAAAATAATTATATTCCTCCTAAGTCTGTTATTCCCATACTACTTTTTCAGTATGAAGTACCACCATTGATCCATTAACCCCACTCTGATACATGGAAGTTGTCCTGGACTCCTCACTCACTCAACACATACAATATCCAAATCCTATAGATCCCATTTCCTCGATGTTTCTTAGCTCTAGCCTTATTTTCCTTCTGTAGGCCCATTGGTTAGTTCAAGTTCAGGTCACAAGTTTTAAACACCTTTTGACCAACTGATACTGCCTCCCTGGAAAGCAATTTCCATTTCCTATTTCCCATGCTTCACACTTCACAAAATTTCTCTCACATATATTGTTCTACTTTCCCCCCAGAAGCATCTGTGAGAAGGCATTATTATTTACATTATACTGATGACAGAAACATAGATAGGAGTGTTTGGGTTTTAAGATTGTCAAGAACCTAACTAAGAAAAGCATAAGAAATCCCTATCCCAAGACCATCGACTCCCAAGCTCATGCTCCTTTCCCCATTACAATACGGTTTCCCATCTATGCCTCATATAGTAGATGGGAAGAACAAGAACAATTGTTTTTTCCTCAAACTGAAGAAAAAAATTGAAACTAGGCAAGTGAGATGACTTTTTGAAGGCCTTTGAGCTCTCCTCAGGAGCATATTTCTGACTTCTAGACTTCTGTTCTTTTCTCCATACAACTCTGCTTCCCAGGTATTGTCAAAGAATACAAAGAATGTGCTATCCTGAAAAACATGTTTCTTGTATGAAATAAAAGGATACCCAGGGTCATATCAACTAATGCCTAAAATTACAAGAAGTATACAAAAATCTTCTCATTCCAATTTCTCTAATTGTTGATGTGTTCTGTAGTATTTGTCTATACTTTATGTAAATTTCAGATTAAAAACTGTTTTCCTTTTTGAAGTTGCTGTGTTGGTAGAACTAGCTGAGACTTGATTTAAGCTCTTATATATTCAATTCTTTACTTTCCTTGTGAAGAATAGTCTGTGTAAAAAGGAGCTTTTGAAACATGTTCATACATTACCTACTGAGATACAGCTTGCATACTACAGAAGCCAGTAAGAATGATATGCAGTCTGCCATCCAGAAACAAAATGAATAAAAGCAGAAATATGCCTGCTGAATTAAAATACTACATTTTGCTTCTGACGTTTAAGGCTTTGAAACCAGTTACATATCAGTTCAGTCCGGAGGGGAAAATACTGAGATCAGCATTTCAAGTACACCTTCAAGAGTCTTAAGCTACTTAACAGTGATGACCAGGAGTTTTAGACTGGGGCCAGTCATATTTATATATACTATTGCACTTCTGTCACAGAAAACAATATGAAGAAGTCACAGTGGCACAGGACAGAGAAAACAATGGGCTAGGAATTGCATCTACATTCTGATGCATCTTAACCACATTCTGGTCATGCATTGTAACCTCTCTAGGTCACCCCTGTAAGAAGACTGTGAGGTCTCCCATGATATTCTTTAAGGATAAGGAGAAAACTAAAATTTGGGTGATAATCTTGTTAGACATTCATAAGATAGAATTTCTCATCACCCATACAACCAATACTGGTTATTGATTTGTTAGTCAAAAGTTTGGACATAACAGTCATCATTTGGGAGGAAAAAGAAAAGATACCTTTGTGCCATAATTATTTCACCTAATTTTTTTTTTTTTATTTTAGAGAGACAGAGCACATACGCTCACATGAGTGGGGATTGAGGTGAGGTGGAAGGAGCAAAGAGAAAGAGAATCTTAAGCAGACTCCGTGCTCAGCATGGAGCCCAAGGCAGGGCTCTATCTCTCAACCCTGGGATCATGACCTGAGCTGATATCAAGTTGGTTGCTCAACCGAATGACCCACCCAGGTGCCCCTCACCTTAAATTTTAAAAATATAACTGTATGGTTGCACAAATAAGTAGTTTAGTGGTATTTAAAAGAAGAAGAATTTCTCCTAATAAATGCCCTCCAATTTTTTTATTTAGTCTCCACATTTTTACTGACATGTTTGAAGCTGTTCACCATAAAGTAAAACCACATTTCTGTCATCTTTGACTATGGCATGCAAAATTTAGGGACCTGAATTTGATCCATTTTTTCATATTTAGATCCATCTGTTTGAATGCATGATTTCTTCATTGTCCATGATTTCAGTTTTCAATAGATCATCTTAATTAGTCCAGTATTATATACTGTTTTTCTATAAATCATAACTTTTAAATTGTCTGATATCACTTAACAAATTGTGTTCCTCATCATATTTTATATGTGAGGGTCAAGATTTTCTCTAGTGCTGTCAACGTTTGGCCACACTTTTTATGATGCTATCTTCCAGCATCTAAATTGTCCATTAAGTGCTTTAAAATGCTTAGTATACTATATCGATTAGGAAGGCCAAAAATCTAGAGTCCATTTTTTTATGAATTTCTCCTTCTTTTTTCTTACATTATGTCTTTAATTCATCTATGCTTTTCAATTTGGTTTTGTTAAATTAGAATGAAAATCAAAAGTACACTAAGTGAAAAAATTATCATTTTATAATTATTTTCTGACTTTTATAGTTGCCTCATACCTAATTTGGAAGCAACATTTTGAACTATATATAATTATTGTCTTTCTAGATTAGTAATTTTTTTCAGGTAATGTATCTTTTCGATTTTTAAAAAATTTACTGAAGTATAGTTAATATACAGCATTATATTTATTTTCAGGTGTATAATATAATGATTCAACAATTCTGTACATTTTTCAGGACTCATCAGATAAGTGTATTCTTAATCATTGCCCCCAACCACCTCCCATCTGGCAATCACCAGTTCATTCTTTGTATTTAAGAATTATCTTTGGTCTTTTGTTGTTGTTTTATTCATTTCTTTTGTTTCATAAATTCCACATATGAATGAAATCATAGAATATTTCTCTTCCTCTGACTGATTTATTTCACTTAGCATTATATCATCTAGTCTATCTATATTGTTGCAAATTGCAGGAGCTCATTTTTTTTAATTTTTATTTATTTATGATAGTCACACAGAATGAGAGAGAGAGAGGCAGAGACATAGGCAGAGGGAGAAGCAGGCTCCATGCACTGGGAGCCCGACGTGGGATTCGACCCCGGGTCTCCAGGATCACGCCCTGGGCCAAAGGCAGGCGCCAAACCGCTGCGCCACCCAGGGATCCCAGGAGCTCATTTTTTTAATGGCTGAGTAATATTCCAGTGTGTGTGTGTGTGTGTGTGTGTGTGTGTCTGTGTGTGTACACATACCGCACGTTTATCCATTCATCTATCAATGGACACTTGGGTCATTCCCATATCTTGGCTGTTGTAAATAATGCTGCAATAAAATAGAGGTGCATACGTCTTTTTGAATGAGTGCTTTCATTTTCTTCAGGTAAATACACAGTAGTAGAATTACTGGACCAAATAGAATGTTACTTCTATTTTTAATATTTTAAGAACCTCCATATTATTTTCTACCACTTTATATTCCCATCAACAGTACACGAGGGTTCCCTTTTCTCTGCATTTTCATGCCAACACTTGTTATTTCTCGTGTTTTTTATTTTAGCCCTTCTAACAGGTGTACAATAATACCTCATTATAGTTTTGATTTTCATTTCCCTGATGATTAGTGACATTGAGCATCTTTTCATGTGTCTATTGGCCATCTGTATGTCTCCTTGGGAAAATGTCTCTTCAGAGGAAAAATGTCTCTTCAGATTCCTCTAACCTTTTTTTAAAGATTTTGTTTATTTATTTGACAATGAGAGAGACTACAAACGGGGGAGCAGTAGAGGGAGTAAGAAAAGCAGACTCTCTGCTGAGCAAGGAGCTCAACGTAGGGCTTGATCCCAGGACCCCAGGATCATGACCTGAGCCACGCAGGTGCCCCCCACCCCTACCATTTCTAATTGGATTATTTGTTTTTAGTGCATTGAGTTATATGAGTCCGCTCTAAAATTCTTTTCCTTTTTGAAGTAACATTAAAAATAAACAGCCTTTGATAGAATTTAAATTATTTTTTCCATTTAAATGGAACAACAGCTTATATCTTGGACTCATAAATCATTCATTCTTTGCTCAATTATCATATGCAAGCAAGATTTCACCTTTAATTAAAGTTGCATTGATATGCCTTTGTTCTATATAAATTTAATCTTAAGGTTTCAGTTCTTCTTATTGACATTATGTGATAAACAAGAATGGATTTGGAAAATATCAGGCACAGCTGGCAAAGGTGGCATAGAACAGATTGCACTTTAGTAGTGGAATTTACCTTTTATAGCATCTAATTCAACCCTCCACCTCCTCTTCTTTTCACAGATGAGAAAATCTAGGTTCAGAAAGGTGAAGCAGTTTACCAAAGTCAGTGGCAGAATGTGGTATATAACCCAACTTATTTATTTATGTTGGATATTATATTTATTTTTATTTATTTGGACATTTATTTTGGATATTATTTATTTTGGATATTAACCCCTTAAGAGATTTGTCATTGCAGATATTTTCTCTCATTTACTAGGTTGCCTTCATTATTGTTTCCTTTGCTGTGCAAAAACTTTGATGTTTTAAACTGCATATGCTGGGATCCCTGGGTGGCGCAGCGGTTTAGCGCCTGCCTTTGGCCCAGGGCGCGATCCTGGAGACCCGGGATCGAATCCCACGTGGGGCTCCCGGTGCATGGAGCCTGCTTCTCCCTCTGCCTGTGTCTCTGCCTCTCTCTCTCTCTCTCTCTCTCTCTCTCTCTCTCTCTCTGTGTGTGTGACTATCATAAATAAATAAAAATTAAAAAAATCTTTCATAAACTGCATATGCTTATTAAGTTTTTATAGATCAGTAAACTTATCCTTGATAGAAGCAATTCTTTTTACACATTCATATTTCATTTTTATAACATTAAATTACATGATTATACCATGAGTATAATAAGAATAAAAAGATTTGAGGACAATTATAACTGATTCTTAGAAACATATGAGTCATATGGAAGGAATGAGAATATAATGATTCAATAATTCTGTACATGATTCAGTGCTCTGTACATATGCATTCCACTTGCTGTGAACATTGGTCAGCTTGTCACTGAGGGGTTGGAGAGGACTGGTTAATCTGTAAAGAGATGTTGATTAAGAGAGCTTAATAGTAAAACTTCTGGACTAACAAACTGGAGGAGGATTGGTGATGATTTGCTACAATGCATGATCTTTGTCTTTTATCATAGTTAATAATTTGCATGAAAGTGTAAAAGGCATTTTATCATCTTCAAAGATGATGATACAAAGCTACATGAAAAAGTGAAGTTCTGTAATGGCTAACACATCTTAGATGCTCAATAAATATTTATTGAGCTGAATTGATGACCTAGTGTTAATTCAAATATAAAACTAGATCAAAATTAATACCATTAAAATTGACAATTAACTACATTGAATATCCAAAAACCCAATGTACAATTATGTGCTAGATTGATTTCAAATCATTTTATGTCAAAAATATATGAGACATTAGCTTGACCCTAAACTTAACAATATAATTTAAAATTCAAACTTTAAAATTAATGTTATCTTGGGCTCCTCTGGAAGGAGTATGGAATGCAGGTGAGACAAAGTCAGCACCTAGTGGAACTCAGCCCTGGTCTGAACATATCTGGATCTCTGAATTCATTTCTAGGTTCTACAATTTAAGTAAAAATAAGAAAAAAAATGGGGTGTCTCACTGGCTCAGTCTGTAGAGTATGTGACTCTTGATCTTAGGGTTATGGATTCAAGCCCCACACTGGGTGTAGAGATTACTAAAAATAAAATCTTAAGAAAAAAAAAAAAGGAAGGAAGGAGGGGGGAGAAGAATGAGGAAGGGAGAGAGGGGCACCTGCTGGCTCAATTGGTTAAGCATCCCACTCTTGATTTCAGCTCAGGTGATGAGCTCAGGTTTGAGATCAAGTCTTGTGTTAGGCTTTATGCTCAGTGGGGAGTTTGCTTTCTCTACCCACCCCCACCCCCGCTCATGTTCTCTCTCTCTCTCTAAAATAAATAAATCTTTAAAAAATATAAATAATAAAATGAAAAAAGAAAAACATAAAAGTATATAGAGAAAGATAGCTGGGAATCTTAAAACCATCTAATAATAACCAGACGTGTTAGGAATGTTTATTAGAAAGAGTAGAAGAGGGAATCCCTGGGTGGCTCAGTGGTTTAGCACCTGCCTTTGGCCTAGGGTGTGATCCTGGAGTTCCTGGATGGAGTCCTGTATCAGACTCCCTGCATGGAGCTTGCTCGTGTCTCTGCCTCTCCTCTCTTTCTCTCTCTCTCTCTCTCTCTCTCTGTCTCTCATGAATAAATAAATAAAATATTTTTAAAATTTAAAAAAAAGAAAGAGTAGAAGATGCAAGAATATGTTCTTCAGTGGCTACTGTGGATGTATTGGTATTACACCAATAGAAAGAACCTTTCAATAGGTATAGCTGTTCCCCTGTATATCATATTTCCCACATGTGTAATAGGCACATTAAGCTAAGCTTATATAAAAATCAAACTCAATTATATTCCTACTGCCATTGTCCAAATTAAGGCATTTATTAATTTCTTTCTTATGACAATTCCTATTTGTCTCCCTGCCTGTAGACTCCTTCTGCTGTTCAGAGTATTTTTAGGTTTATTCTTTTGGATCACAGTTATTGCTGTATTGATCCCAAACTTTGGAGACTCACCACTGCCATCAAGAT